TGGGTTACTACCCAAAGTGATTAACCATTGTATGCATTGTGCTGTGTAAGGCGGATGGAAGTAATCGACAAGAAACCTTTGACTTAAGTTCTTTATTATATAGTACACGTTAGTAGGGCATACGTGCAATGTTGGATGACACATTCGGCTCTAAGGGGAACACCATCCCCCTCAAGATTACAAGTGCACTTTGTCGAGTAGTGCCAAATAGCGCGAAATTTATGTCTTGGGTTTCCTGTCGACTGCCTCTGATCACCCAACAGTATGTTGAGCGATACATGTGTATTTTCTCAAAACCATTCACAGATACTGCTCTAACGTTCTCATTTGCAAACTATATCACGTGTAATGTAACGCATAAATATCCATCATATACAGTTAGCAAGATCGTGTAAAGCGATCATAAAGCTACAACAGCAGTTTTTAATAATATGGGAATCTACAAAATGAATAAATAAATGCACATGATTTCGAATAACTAATTACTCTTTGAAAGATAGTTTGAACTCAGATTAGATTGACGGATTAGAACTAGCCTTTCCAGTCCATGTCTAAGATGAATAAATATATTTATTCTTGGTTTGTTCGACCTGCATAAGCGTTAGAAAATGTCATAAAGGTGTGTAAAACAAAATTACTCGGTATTATTAAGAACATCATTTTTCCGTTCTTCCTTGCATAGAATCATTACTTATGCTTGAGATAAATAACGTATATCTACTACCCTATGATGTTCGAATTGAGTAATCTATGCCATGAATGATTTTCAACAAAGGTGGAAACTATGACGTGGCATACAAATATGTGTTTCTATACTAAGTTGCACTTGGATTGCTGAATTTTCTAAACTATACATCAACCTTGAGTTATAATGAAGTATTGTGTACTTCGTGTAGAGGGACAATGTTGTGGTTAATACTCTACGTACGAAAACGATACGTCCAACTTGTCATACGTTCTTGGTCCTGATTCCCTTCCAGTGTGTTCTGGTCTTGCTTTTTTAAAAATTATTGTTTTATAATTTTAAACCATTATCATTTATTATTGTCGTTTAACAAATTTTCATGATTATTATTCAGTCATTACTATGATATTTATGTTTTTCGTTTTCATATCTGTCAGGCGGACAATTATCTTTCAAAATTCTAACCCGTAAATTATTTTCATCCTTTTATTCTTTTCTAACCCCCTGATTATTACGCAACCTCATTTGATATTTAGAGTCTCGAGTCACTTTATGATGCAATCTTTCTATAGACATATACCTACCATACAACTATAAATACGAATGTACAGCTTAAGTAAATGATTTTGTCGAAAAGGGAATTTTCTTCGCTGAATTCTCTTCATTCAATGACATAATGGGTTACTTGACGCTTAGTTTGCTGTGATATATCGCACAATTTTTCTTTTTTTTAAGGAGTTGGTATTCGCAGATTCTGATTAAGCGATAATAGGTTACCACAGATTTCCATCAAACAAATATTCTGGTTAGCTCGGGTATTACATGAATTCAGATATATAGGGTTAACGAAATAACTTTTCTGTCCACCCGATTTCGGTTGTTATCTGACGTTACATTCGGAGTAAAATCACGTACAGAAGTTATTAGACATACCTCGCTTTTACCCTTATGACTTCCTACCGCTTATTGAAACTGACTTCCACGTATGCATCTAAAACAGTTTTTCTATTTTTATTAAATCGGTGCTTCTATAGGTTTGCATTTGAATGTGAATTCCCTGAAGTTTTTTTACTCCTATTTCACACAATCCTAGGCTGAATTTATTGTCTTTGACTTGTGCGAAACTAATTTCCACCTTAGGAACAATGAAATATGTTACACATTTCGGGAAATAGCTGACATTTTGATGTATTAAGGCTTTCATTTAGCACCATAGTACTGGTCCGCCTAGGTCATATTTCCCAAAAAGGGAACTTGGAATTTGAAAAAATATTGTTATTTTAGTTTGAGTGCTTTATTTTTGATGTATAGTTATCGAAACACTTACCACTAGGTGAGTCATAATATAGTGCCGATTGTCTTTTCTCAGAGCGATGATAATAGGCTATACCTCTACTAACTCGATATCATGGGAAATAATCAGAACTTGCTATTTCTCAGTAATAAGACCTTGTAAAAAGGGTGACAACACAGTTTTTCTATAAAAAATAGTTTTGCTGTTAATATTCTAATTAATGTATTTTTAGATGTGAGGATTTTATCTCAGATACTTCAGAAAGATATCAACTGCAAAGGATAACCAAAAGATCGACAGCAAAGAAATCCATCCTGACCATCAATGTAACCATGGGCAGATGGACAAACTGTATTACTCGTTTCTACTGTCTACTCTAGACCTTATTCTAATAAATGTGTTTACTTCCGCTCTAGTTACGATAAATTCTCAAATTTAACGCTGGACTTTGACTTCATGGGTCTATACGTTTTGATATAGATGTTGATTGTAAGACGAAAACTAAGTATGTTGCCCTACAAAAGATCAGGCTTCATTATCCGGATGCTTGAGAAGTTTCTGAATCAAATACGACAAGTAATCTTCAGTGACACTACTTATATTCAACTTTAGGATATATATTAACACAATATTTCTGGTCTTGATTATTTTGCTTTACTGTTTAAGTAGTCTCTGGAAAATGACAAAAGCTTATCAAATGAGTACGTTGGAAAAACGAATTCGATATCCTGAACGCAAGTCTGAAAATAGCATGGGCTTTTCAGTCGCTAACTTCGAAACAGTGCTTTAAAACTGATCTTCATCAATGCTTGATTTCACAATTTGAATTGACTTGATGTACTGGTTATTGGTCTGATGTTGTTTCTCGGTAACTAATGAACTACCAACTTGTATTTAAGAAGTTCACTAAAAATTTATCAAATATCAGTGCTAAAATTGTATCTTCAAACTCAGGAAAATCCAATGAAAATTACAATAGTTTACTCATTCAGAAATAAATTCAATTACAATTAAGTTTTACGAAGTCTCAATAAAAATAAAATACGGGAAGATAAACCATTCTGAAACGAAATATTATCTTTTTGATGTGATTCGTTGAGGAAAAACAATCACAGTATGTTTAGTTGTCGGCTAAATAATACGTAAAAACAGTAATTTAACTATATATGAGCACCATATAAAACTTTCCGAATCATAAAACAAACCGAATACCCTGATGTGAATGATATGTTCTCAATAAATCAGTGGCATTTTGTTATAAAATGACAGAACGGAATGATGGTTGTAATAACAATGAAAGTTTATCTAAAAAGTAACTTCTTTCTGGAATTTTATCTCACCGAATTCTTCAACCGATAATGGTGGGTAATTAAATGAGTTCGCCGTAAAAGCCACATCCAACACTGTATCATCTCCCACACCTAATACAGGATACAAAACTTCACCACCGCTGTCAATACACAGTGGGCTTTGTTCTGTTTGCTCCGAATACACATGAGCAATATCTCAATTGATTGTAAATCTCAATTCCCCTTTATCATAGATCACCCCAATTATATCACCCTCTTCAACAGATTGTTTTAACTGACCAATCACATGACCACGACTCCATATTTTCATATCGTTTCTAAGTATCCAACATGACGAATCATCAGTAAGCGATTGGACAGAATCCAATGGAGTCTAATTTTAGAAATAACAAATAATTCGATGAAGAATCCAAATTAAGAAAATAAATCGACATTTACTAATTGCAAATAACAAGTGAGACAATAGAAGTTACTGACTTCAAAAGAGAAAGATTTATGAAATTGGTGTAACTTTTAAGAAGATCAAGATTGAAGCATTTACATAAATCTTGTGCATTAAACTTTACAAGACTGAGTATTAGAATGATTCATCTCGCTAGAATATACTTATAAACCGCTATCCATTACAACGTTCTCTATAAATAAATTGAAGTAGGAAAATGATAAAATTGTCTTCTCTTCTTTGACTTGATTCTTGGCCTCATATCTATTTATGACTTTTCTAGAAAGATAATGAAAGGCTCACGAATAAACCATCATAGTTGAGAACAGGGTTTCAACAAAATCGTCCCCATGAACTACAAATCTCCATTAATTCGGGATTGATTTACCGTAAAGTATGATTGTTGTAGTTAGTATACCCTTCTGACTAGACAGAAGTTTGTGGGACCTACAGAAATGTTTTAATCCATTTTATCATAACTGCCTAATTAAAATGAAGTATAAGATTCTCAATAATAAACATAGGTGTGATCTACTTCATTTAAGTTCGTTATAAACAATGTTTTTGTAATAATATTATGAAGAGCACTATAACTAGGTGTCATTAAACATGGACACATTCGTTACATTTCAAAAAATGAAATATGTAAGAGGAGAAAAAAGACAAATAAATCTTGTATTCCACCTGACCTACTGAAACTAAAGGTTTCGTGTCAGTTTGAGGCATCAGAAAAGATAACATATGATCTTGTGCATATTCAAGCCCAGGACCATTAGACTTTTTAACAAGCATGATACTTCCCAACTCACGAGTTGGACACCAAGTGTTAGAACGTCTAAGTTTAAATAATTCATGATTTGTCAGTATTCTTAAGTCACACAAAATTTCGTTTAAGCCATTTAGCTAAATATTTTTTCATTAAACAATATTTGTTAATGAGATTACAGAACGTATTTCCCTCCAAAGCACTTGATCAAAATCGATCTATATTTTGAGATTCTAGAATACTAGATTTGGTTTTTGCCAAATCTGAGAACATTCATTTTTATTGTAAATAATGAACTGTTTAAAGTGAAAATATTAGGATCCCGCACTTCAAATGAGAGAACAAGAAAAGTGATTTTCAAAACTAACAGGAATTTCGTCGATTGAAAGATGTCTTTAATAGGTTACTTCTCACATTGTAGATAAGTTCAGTTGTTTATCCAGTAAACCGAAGTTAAGACGTTTACGGGTGCCATCTACCTAAGTGTTGTACGCTAGAAACCTGTCATTGAAAAAAAATATATGCAACCGTTCCCAATGTGTCGTGGCATATGTCATAGTCTCAAACCATAAACTTTTCACATTTCAACAATATAAGTTTTCCATCGTATTCATATCTGATCGCATATGAGACGTTTAAAAACGCGTTTTAGTTCTGCTGTGTGATTGAATATTTATTTAACAGCAAAATTTAAGTAAGATACTAGATCGACAATCGAGAGGACATCAGTCTGCATTCAGTTACTACAACTTTCTTCATCTAACTTTAATTGTAGTGAGATCTTTTTGAAATTTCAAGCAGATTTTAGTTCACCGAACTACACATTTAATTTCAAACGACAAATTACGCAAATCTCACTCATATCGAAGACATCTAATGTTAAGCAAACCTAGTGTTCAAACACCTACCATCACAATGATGATGGTTAGACAAATCAAAATATCATGTTCCAAATAGTCAAATACACTTATTGATTGTAAGTCCAGTAAACTAAACAGACATAAAATTCCAAAACGTAAACAATTGCAACATAAAAATTCATCTCAGCCTTTACTGGTCATTCGAACGTTAATTCTTGTTTTTGTATAAATCAAATGAGAGGAACAAAGATAAGTGGCTATCGCACAACAATTACGATAAAGAGGTTTATACAGAATGGGCGATAAAGTACCAGTTAAACGCCTAAATGTCACAATGATATTTAAATAGGGACTACTGACATGAAACATTCAATAAGATGATAGGAAACCGATGTTTATTGAAGACTTTTGTTCACTTCCTCGCCAATGTTGAAAAAATGCTCTAATTTTTCTAGTAATAAAACTGTCGTAGACCTCATCAGGTAGTTGGTACGATACGATGAGAAAAGGATTCATGTGTTTAGTTTCGTGTATTAATGGTTGAGTAACTTCTGCAAGAAGTACGGTACCTAATCTTGGTGGGTCTTGACACTCATCGGATTTTTCAGTTTTTAATAGACTCATTGTAAGAACAGAATGTGATTAACACTAAGAGTACGATAACATGGCAGTTTTAATCTTCTAGTAGTAAATTAAAATACTTCGTCCCTTTCTGTAAAGGATAGGTAAAGCGGAGGCCGAGTAGTTAAGGCATTTCAATTTCAGTCACTAAGTCTCAGATTCTAATCATACTACACCTACTTTGGGTTGAACAATCAGATAGTATCACCATTACTCACACCTAAAGTGTATCTGGAAGCCAAGTATATGACTATATAATTGGTAAGTTAACAACAAAGGATGCATGTTAGCCTGAATATATCAGTGGTATCGTTTTGAGAGGGTACTCGCTCACGTATGATTAAAAGCAAGGATTAGTAGTAAATAAGAACACAATAAAGTATTGATGATTTCCTGACGACTTGTTTTCAACCACGCAAGTTCTGGTTCCTGTTGTATCCGAGTGAAGATTAAATCACGAGTAACTTCTGAGACATATTAATTAACTAATATTAGTATAACTATTCAATAATTAGATTATGTATATTTATATTCCTCTTACTGTAAGCTTCATTTTGACCTATAATTTATTATTGTACGATTTACTGTTCTTAGGCTATGTTCACTTTATTGACTACTGCCTCCCACGTTCACAGTCACTTTTTGGCTTTATTGTGTATGAATGTTATTTCCTATTTTATGGTGCGTTGCGGTCTGTTTGTTTGATATGTAAACCCAGTATGTCTCAAATAAATAAATCGGTTCGATTCGCACAGTGGAAGCTGGTATTGTTGTTCTGGACTCAAGCGGACGGGCTAGGCGGGCATAGGACCAATAAGGACGCTAGGCTGCTCATACCGGTCGAACGTCATTGGTTTGGCACAGTGCTAAGGTTGTATAAGTCGTATTTTGATTGGTGAGTGGATCGCGTGACAAAAAGCCGAACATAAAGTCACAGCAATTCCAGATATATAACAAATGAGCCTTATGTTCAAAATATTGAAGTGATATCAAAGCCTAATTAGCAGTCAAATAACAAAAGTAATTTGCTAGTGTAGCAAACGATTTTTAACTAAGCTTCTTTTCAGATAAAATACAGTGACTATTCGTATATAATTCTCATTTAATTATGCAACTGTTTTCTTTTGTTCTCTGACATTTTTAACGTGATTGTTAGACAGTTATGAATGAAGAAGAATCTAGCTAAAATGTATACAGTCCAAGTTTGTACACTTCACATCAACACAGTAAAAGATAATAACCAAGAAAAAAATAGTGAGGTGAGGGAAATGTTAGCAGCAACAATAAAATGTTAGAAATGAATTCAGAAAATGAAAAGTATAGAATAATATAACCGAAAATCATAAAGAGTAAAACTATCTTTTTCATTAACACTTAATTTAACTACGGTTATTTCATTGACACAAAATAATAAACCTCCACACCCCCACATGGTCTGAACCAACAAATAATAACTTCAAAGACTGATCTTATTTAGACACCAATCTTAACCTTTAGCAAGCTGGCCGTTTGCTAGTTAGTGTGGATGTGTTTATGTCATATAAACATTCGAAAATATGCAGATAATGATTTAAAGACATTTATAATCAAATACCAACAACCCTCGTATATTAACTAAATCGTATATCCTTCAAGGAGTAGAAACAATGATTTTATCTTTATGCTACGTGGACGAGATATTTAAAGGAAAAATAACATACAAATATGCTAAGTCATATATTGCTGACTGGTAGTATAAATGACTAATATGTAATGGATCATATTGTGTACAGGTGTTTTTATAATTAAAGTGTTGATCAAGATAATATGAATCAAAATATTGTATAAACAACTTACATTTACTGTACACAGCCCGATTCCCCATGACCCTCTATAATTTTGTAGTTTCACTTCGTAATAAGCATAATCTTGTATTATTGGTATATTTATTCTAGCAGCACCATTAGAACAAATTCTTAAACCGGATTTTAAAATGAGTACAGATGGAGCAGCAGTGAGTACATCAAGTTTCACATAAAATTTCATCAATTCTCTATCAAGCAGTGTATAATCGTCATCATATATATTATCACGTTGACAACATCCAAATGCTGCAAATAATGACTAAAACAATTAATATATATGCATACATATTAGTTGGATACCGGCAACAATTTCAAATATACAAATAGATTTGAACTTTGTAAATGAATGTAACTGAGGTTATTTAAAAATATTTTATGACTAGAAATCAGTAACAGAAAACTATGGAGAATTGGACAAGTGTTTCGTCCTGGTTTACAACTTATTACCAGTACATATTCACTTTATACAGAATCGAATATAGCATACTCAGGTACTTTGAAGAAATGGATACTATTTAACTAATAAGTTGGAACCTTGAAAAATCCGTATTTTCTAACTTTGAAGTTTACAGTACGACACGATCACCATCCGGTCTCATAGATGAACCTACCTCTTAGCTTGATTCATTTGATGGATAGAAAACCTTTCACTAAGATGTCGAAAAATCCGATCCCAAAGTCATTAAAGAGTGGGAAAACTAATTCGAAGTATTTTTAAAAAAATGTTAAGTACGTTCGCTTTCCAGAAGTCTATAAAAAGGTCGCAAATTACTAAATCCTCGTAAATGTAACAACAAAACAGCTAAAATGTACAAATGGACAACCAAATCTCGTGTTTTCAAGTACTGACTGGATTCTGTCGATCGGTATATGCGACCAACCAACTAGAAATCAAAGTATTAATTTTTAATGGGGACAATTTGTAGGAAACCCGCAATCGAAATCTAAATGTGCTCGGTAGTGGTCAACTGTATCTTTAACTCTGAATTAAATATGCATGCTTCTAAATCCAAGCTTACACTGATTTTAATGATCAGTAAACTCAAACCCTTTGTCTTTAATACTGAACAAAAAGATATCATTTGAAAGATTATTTTATAAAGAATCAAGGACCTCACTAAATCAACAATAAGTAGTGGTAGCAGTCACTAAAAAACCCTTTTCTATATATATTTCAATAACTTCAGATACGCAGAATTTCGGAGTTTCACATTATATGTATTTAAGCACACGATCAATGCGTCGTAATACCTAGGTTAGTTTCGTCAATATACACAATCAACGTGTGAATTATTTTATCGAAACAAGTGCTGTGTTGATAATTGACTCAGTTTGTAAAATTTAACTTGAAACACTAGAAAGTTTAGGTAGTCGGTTAGTTTATACAAACAGATATATGTATCTAATAGCTGGGATGCCTTATATATATATTATTTTATAGTCCATAGAGTAAGAACTATGAATTAAATACAGATTATTTGAACAGGATAGTGGTTGACTAAAACAAACTTTACCAAAAAGTCATCACTTTCATATGGAACTGCCAGTGGCTAGATGTTTAAAAACTTAGCTACTACTACTACTACTACTCGATTTGAATGCTACTCTTTTCAGTTCGATTTAATAAGGTATTTAGTAACTGAAGTTATGTAGAAAAACAAATAACTAACCTTTTCACAAGTATTTTTATGTCAAATATAAGATATTTTGATTTTCAACTTGTGACGACGGACTACCGGTGAACTCGAGGAAGCTGTAAGAGGCTCATAAGGAGCCGAAGACGTTCCATCCAATCACCTTTCAAAAGAATGTTCTAGAATTCCAACGTGTAGCTTCCCCATTGGATAATGCTAATAACCCCCTGTACGCGGATTGGAAGACTGTAATGATGATTTCGTTCTCACTAAAAACTATAAATACCTGACCATTTTTGTACTATGTTTGACACTGTTTGGAATAATATTCCTTTCGTTAGTCTTCTGTCTTCTTGTTGCGACTTGGAAGGGTTTGGTGTTCTAGTGCTCAGTTATACGCGGTTGTATCAAGAAGAATCAGCTTTTTCAAGTTATAACATCTGGCGACGGGTTATTGTATCAATATGTCACTTACCTTGGAACAATTTGAAGCCTTATTGGAACGCCAAGAAAAGTTCCAGATGCGCATGTTAGAGATGCTAACGCACAAAATGAACCTGGATCAAAAAGAAGTTACAGATGATCCCTTCAAATCTCATGTTGACCAGATTGTTAATTCTATCCATGAATTTAATTTTGATGGTTCAGCTGGCATTACTTTTGAAACTTGGTTCAAGAAATATGAAGATTTGTTCAAGGTCGACCTCAAAAAGCTTGATGACGCCGCTAAGGTCAGAATACTCTTGCGAAAACTTGGAACTGTTGAACATGAACGTTACAGTAACTTTATCCTTCCAAAGAATCCAAGAGATTTTTCTTTTGATACAACTATTGAAATTTTGTCGCAAATCTTTGCTGAACAGTCATCCTTGTTTAATATTCGTTATCAATGTCTCAAGATGACAAAAGCAGCTGATGATGACTGGGTGAAACATGCGGGTTTAGTAAACCGTGAATGTGAGCGTTTCAAACTATCTGCAATGACAGAAGACCAGTTTAAGTGTCTCGTATTTGTGTGCAGCCTCCAATCTCCCGAAGATGCCGATATTAGAACTAGAATTTTGAGTAAAATTGAACAATGTCCGAATATGACACTACAAGAAGTAACCGCAGAGTGCCAGAGATTGGTGAACCTAAAGCATGACACTTCGATGGTCGAAAATAATGGACAGTTGCCAGCTTTTTCAAGTTATAACACAACTGAAAACCAACTTACCACTTTCTTACAACTCTATGTCAACTGATAATCTAGTTGTGTGATATTTCGTTTTAAATATGAATAGTGCTAACAGTACATGAGTTTAAGAATATGATCACAATTTCACCCACTTCAAGATTAAATTTAGTATATCCATGAGTGGATAACTTAGCCATCTTAAATAAAAGATTTTTGATACAACATATATTCAACTCCTTACAAAATTAAAGCAACGGCATCTTATCCTTTTTTTCGTGTGTGTAAATTATAAGTCAGTAAGTAAAACCGTACAACCGATTCTATTGTTCCAACTGTATCCGATTCGTGTTATACAAAAGTTATCATTATGTATAGTCACAAAGTGATTTTTCTTTTTTTTTCACCGATTAAACTGAAACTAGGTGCTAATAATACAGACCAGAAAACAAAAAAAACATATATGTTCCGTCATGAGACTGAAATAAACATCGACAGTGTTTTGAATGACCCATTTTTATCTGGCTTCAGCTTATGGTGATGTACCGATAAATTAATCAGCGTAATTAAAATATTAATTGAATAATAGTACGACAAAGGGACATTTAGTAATAATAATAACACTAGCCGTTGACTGAATTATTATTTTGGGATAAAATGAAAACAAGGCAATATTCTTGAAACCAGTAATATAATTTATTTCTTTGATGACATTATATGCATATACATATTATATATAAATCAGAGAACAAGTTGGGATGAAATAAATACTATACAAGTAATTATATAGATACAAATGTCAAAAAAAACATTTACACAACAAGCATATAGCCGGTGTCCGTCAATTTGATGCAATAAAACACCATTCACGCATGATGATTCCAAACAATAATTGAACCGATGCATAATAGACAGTAAGAACGTTGTAATCGGATAACCTTCAATCCAATAGGAATAAACCCCGAAACGTTGTATCATATACATGTCGTATAGCTTCTTTAAAAAACGATGGGAATGTAATATAAAAACCAAAAAAATTAAACAAATATTTGGTGCTTAATAGAACATTAACGGCAATCACGATATATAATAAACCATGTAATAAAGTTTAAGAAATACAGATAGATAGAAATGAGAATGGCATTAGTCGATAAAATCAAGAACCGTTATTCCTTAAGATAACAAAAAAGAATATTTACGGACTCCGTACTATCACTCGAGTTGACCGAAACCCACTGCATAAATTTATACTTTAACAATTTGATTAGCTTATTGATTGCGCTTTTTGATGTTTCACACTTTATTTAAAGTTTAAGGAATTTCAGCCGATTTTTAGTTCAAGTGCCGGGAAAAAGGCCACTGCCCAAATGCCCCGAAACGCAGGAATCTGAAGAGTTAGATCTCTCTGTTTTGACCAAGTGAATAATTAAGGATACATATGAATCATCTATATACATTTTTCACAACCACACAGAGACTAAACGAAAATGCAGAAAAACCACATTTTTTTTCTTTCAGAAATAACAACTGCGTATAAATACATTTATGAGCAATATTGAGGACACAATTGTATTTTTTTTAAAAAGAAAAGTATTAAATCAACCGGATTCGAACAATAATCTGACTTGGAAACTAGCTTATTATCTTTCTGTTTAAAACAGTCGTTCATTCAATGATGATGTGAAATTATTTTAATCATCACATTTAAGTTTGTATATTTAACACAATCATATGACGTATTGACATATATTATTATCATTTATTGATTTCTATTGAACAAATTTAACACAATTTTAGTGGGGAGCGTTTATGTAGAAATTCCTTCTTTTCTCTGAAAACTACATTAAGTTATCTCAATGGATAAACGACTTCACGTGAAAAGTTGGATTATGCTTCTTGTCTATCTGACTAAAAAATGACAAAAAAATGTAAGATTTTCAACATTTACGATTTACTTCGCTTCATAAACACTTTCATAAATTACTTGTTTCAAAATCTAAATGATTATATAGAATTTAAAACATACCCTCTAATTTATGTAAACTTTCTTGTTTAATTGTGAATACCATATATACTTCACGCCCATTAGATCGCCTACAAACAATCCAGCAGTGTGAATCTAGCCTAACAGCGATTTCTTCATGCCATGAATTAGGTCTGTCAAAACGTTTGAAGATTAAACATACTATAAGTAATGCATTTACACACAAGCTTTAATAAGTAACCAGATAAAACTATTTGAATAACAAAAATAAAACTATCAAATCCCGAGTTCAAATACTTAGTACTTGTTCTATCGTTGGTACAAGATTAGGCAGGAAGTGAACTGATCTCAGTTGAAAAAAAAACGATTGGAAACTAGATAGCACCGAACAGATATTATGTCCCGGCTTGAGACTTCTCAGTAAGCCATAAATACGACCTCGCCACGTCTCTATATGAATTACTTAACCAGTAAGTTATCCAGATTCTGGAATAATGTACCAAAATCTATCCGTGATAAAATAACTTCCATCCACTGTTCGCTGCACCGATATATACTTCTCCTCTGAAAATGCATTGAATGTTCTTGGACATGTAAGTGTATCTTATTCCACAAGTGAGATTATAAAAACTTTAAACGTCTAATCGTTTTTAATACTGAACCCACTAAGTAAACCTCCCAACATGCGGTCACTTTACACTAACACCGACCCTAGCAACATTAACTAATTTGAATAACATCTAACACGAATGGTAGATCATAAAATAACTTGGCATATGTATTGTGATAGACCCAACAAACCTCTCGTGGTAATCATTGCCTTTTTTATTCCGTGCTCTCTGCCTCCGTTTTTATGGTTCAGGAAATGACCTTAAATGCACTGTTCATGCATAAACATGACGTCAACCTAAAAATTAAAAGATCCTGGATGATGCCTTTCATTGTTGTGATAAGTGTGAAAAATGTACTACCTAAACAATTTTTGAACTAGAACACTTGAAACAATCTAATATCACATATATGTCCTCTACATTTAATATTAATATCTATATCAAGAATACAATTCCTGTAAACTGGCAATTCTGTAATTATTATTTTCAGAATATATTATTATTATTTCGAGCTAATTGTTGTCACAGAAGCAGTTTAACTTGCAAATGTACATTGTTTTTAGTAATAATAATAATTATTATATATAACTTCATTCTGCTCTAAATAACCTAAAAATAAATGATTGTTTTTGTTTTACCAATAAGAAAATAATTACTTCAGAGAAAATTCCTCACGTAGATTCACCATAGCGTCTAGAATTAATTTCGCCCCTTTAATCGGCCGCTTACCAGACCCGGTGTAAAAGTGTAAAGTTGTCATAACAGAACAAGTTGATGAATTCCAATAAATGAAACGATTTGAATAGAGAGATGATAACGGTGAATCAATATAATCCAAATCTTCGATTGCATTACTTACTCCTTCTTCATTGATTGTAAGATTGCCAAGTGTTGGTAGAGTATGTGAATTAATATCTGCTGTACTCTCCATCAGGTGTAAAGGGAAGATGCTTAAACGAAATAAATCAATGATTCACATATCGTGTTGATGATTTACACAAAACAAAATACTCATGTGGAACTTAAAATATCATATTAAACAAATTCGAACTACTTCTAAAGTAGTATGAATTAGATGTTGTAATTGACAGAGATTCTCAACATGTTGAATTTCAGATATTTTTTACTTCATTCATTACCTCATAGATCATGTACGTCTGTTAATTTAAAAGCTAAAAACTATTGGACAATATTATCGCTTTATAAACAGTTATTCACTATGATTATTTAAGGTACAAGACATCATTATTTATCCAATGAATACGGGGAAAAATCTTGTGTAGCAGTAGTTTTAGGCGGCAATGTTACTTTGTTCACCGAGATTATAAACCTCATCTAGAAAGAACTAGGAAAGTGAAAACTAAGGCAAGTTAGGTCGAGATATGTCTGAAAGATGGTCACGATAATATAGAAACATTCATTCCATCATTTTATTCTGAATCGTGAAGATCACGTTATTTTATGTCTTTGGTCATATATTTGCAACCAATTTTTCAAAAAATATCCTTATTACTATCCCCCACTATTGTCACATCACTATCTGCATTTCATAATTTCCCTTTATCAATGTATTCTCTTTGTGGTGCTGAAGGTTAATAACAAGTTAGGTTGATAAACTAATGATCCAAACAAAAATACTCTTCGCAGACATCTACATACCTGTTTGATTATTATTATTATTATTATTATTATTATTATTATTATTATTATTATTATTATTAATTCTTTTATTCAATATTATATTTTTGGTACAACATAGAATTATCAGCAGAAAGTATTTTAACAAGTTTTCTTTTCCTGTTTCTTAGTCGATCCTGACGATAAATACTGAGTGATCGCCAGTTAGATATTAGCAGTTGAGGAATCGACATTTGAATGATTTTCATCCATTTCAATGCACATTGACAGCCACCACGATGTCTCTGATTGTATTTTTTTGTAACTTGTACAGCAGAAGATCGTCAAATTTTCATGAACGCCCTTGAATAGTTATTCGGTTAAGGGATATAATGATGTGTTAAGACAAACAAAAACAGATAATTTGTTGAAATATCTAGATAGCAGGAACAGGTAGCCCAGATATTCGAGCAGGCCGCCAATAATTCTCTGCACATTCACCTGGTTGAAGTGGTAACATTTAAATCGGATTTAACTCAATGGTTTGTCACAAACACAGATAAACTATGTTAACACATAAGTATACACATCTACTCACATTTAAAAAGTTTGTAGATTTAAATATACACTTTTTAAACGTGATTTAAATATGCAGACGTGTTTTTTATCGTGTTTCATGCTATTTTTAGTGATCACGGTAAAATATCGATGGGGTAGCTTAAATGTTTACTTAGATGAATGATTACACTACTTTTAAAAGACGGAACCAAGTATGTGCCAAGGAAAGAAAATGAAAGCACACAACTAGTTGTTAGAAGGGTACAAGAAAATTGGGATATTTAGTAGAAAGAACAAATAGAGCGAAATTTCTTGTCCATTAGTTTTTCATCATGACTCTACATCAATATATAAAATAATATTGAGTAACTAGAAGAGGTTTATAATGCTACATTGCACAATATATAAAAATGAATGACAAAATATTTTGATGAAATGTGAACATTGTAGTGGTTATTTAAGAATCAAGAGACGGATGTTGAGAATATGTAAAAATACAAATGTGGAACAAGTTAAAAAGTTGTTTGAATATTTTCGGAAGAAGGGGTTGAATCAAAGTTAAGCTAGAAACTATACCGATGGCCAAGGTACGGGAGTGTGTTTGCACAAACTACTTTTGAATGCAAAGGCTGGATTTGTGATAGCCTTAGCAATCTGAAACAGACGAACTCCTAAACCCAGTGGCACATTTGATAGAATGGGGTGGATGACCGCAAAAGCTTTATTCAAGTTAACTTGATGTCCAGTGTCCGCCAAGTGAGACAGAATAGAACTCTTAATCATTCTTACCTATTCTTTGTTCAACCAAGATAAATGGTGTTCTGCTATGCGATAATAGACTTGTCAAATTGTACGCCCTATTTAAATGAATCCAGTTGAGTTGATAAATACACATGGACGTGGCCCTCCCTCCCTCTCGAAATACTCTTACACCGCCACGTGTATATAGCCTCTGCCAGGGAAGTCCTACTCACTGCCTTTCCGTGGTGGGAGGTTGTTTACGAAAATGAGAGGACGAAAAGCGAATATCCGACTCTTTAACCGGATCCCAAACCAATGGTGCACATGGCGTACGAACCAGTCGTTGGTCACCGGCTACCATGGGACTGCATCTCCTCACGATGCTCCACTGCCTT